TTGCACCATTTATAAACGTTAATTAGATCTGCGCGAAGTAGCCTATATTTAATAGTTGTCATATTTAGCGCCAATAATCTTTGTTTATATGGTAGATCATATAACCCTTTAATTCTTTTTGAAGCTCTTCTTAAAACATTTTCTAATTGTTGTTTGTCTTTGTGAAGTACAGGGTTACAAACTGTTCCACAGTATTCTATGGACTAGAGCTGTAAATAGTTTTTTGAAGGATGATAAATCTGGATAAAATGTAAATGTTCTTTTTATTATTCCTATTATTTGTGTTGCTTTGTTAACTTGAGTAGTTGTGTGTTTCGAAAATAATAACTTTGAATCTATGTGAATGCCTAAATCTCGTTTGCAATTTGTGGGTTTAATGTTTACTCTTATATTTTGTTCTGGATCATGCATATTAAAAGTATAGGATTTCTTGTTATGTCCTAAGTGTATTACAGAGCATTTATTAATGTTAAATTTCATTCCCCATTTTTGAGACCATAAAACTAAAGCGTCAATGTCATTTTGTAATTCTTGCGCAGATTAAATACTTTCAATAGATCGGAAGATTTTTGGTTTGATTAATTCAGGGATATTGTTGACATATATAATAAAAAGTAACCCTGAAAGGACAGAGCCATGGGGAACTCCACTTTTAACAGAAACCCAGTCAGAATAATTACCGTTTATAACAACTCTTTATCTACGGTTTTCCAAAAAGTTTGTTATCCAATATAGTATAGAACCATTTATACCATAAGCTTTAAGTTTAGAAATAAGAAATTTATGTGGATCTTTGTCAAAAGCTTTTTCAAAATCAAAATAAATGTTGTTGATGGAAATATTCTTATCAAGTGATAATGTCCAATAATTAATTACAGTTAAAAGGTTAGTTCAGCAGGAATGACCTGGACGAAATCCATATTGGTGTGGACTTAATAAGTTATTGTTAATCAGGTGTGTCATAATATGTTTTTTTATAATTTTTTCAAAGATTTTTATTGAGGTACAAGTTATACTGATAGGTCTATAATTAATTGCTTTAGACCTGTCTCTTTTTGAATATGGGTGAAATTGTTGCGTCTTCCATATTTGGGGTATTGATCCACTCTCAAGGACTTTGTTGAAAATAGTAGATAAATGTTTAGACATTTGAGAGCATTTTTTTATAAAAACTATTGGGTGTAATTGGCCTGGTGATTTAGATGCGTTTAGATTTTGGAGGTATGTTTTTCTATATTTTTTGGACTTATATCAATATTGTTTGAAAGTGGGTTTACACTTTTATATGTTAGGTTAAATTTCAGTATTGTTGTTATTTTTTCGTTTGAAAATATATTAGCAAAATAACTATTGAATAGATGAGCTTTATCTCGATCAGAAGTTGCAACAATGTTATTATATTGGATGTCAGGGAATGTCTCTTTGTTTTTTCTTTTTGATTTGACATACGAGAAAAATGCTTTTGAATTTTGATTGATGTTTCTAGCAAGTTTTTTTTCAAATTCAATAATTATTTTTCTACACACTGCTTTTGTTTTGTTTCGTGAAATGCAATACTCATTATATGTTTCTTCATTTCTGTTTAGTATATTTTGACGATCTTTTGCAGGAATTATTGTTGTGGTTTGTATATAGTAAGTAATAATCAATAGCAAACTTGAGATAGTTAATTTTTTTGTTTTTAGGTGTATATATATATATATATATATATATATATATATATATATATATATATATATATATATATATATATATATATATATATATATATATATATATATATATATATATATATATATATATGTATATATATATATATGTATATATATATATATATATATATATATATATATATATATATATATATAATATATATACATATATATATATATATATATATATATATATATATATATATTTATATATATATATAATATATTATATATAATATATTATATATAATATATATAACTTATATATATAAAATATAAGTGAAATAAAATCCAGAAAAGATTACAAAGAGCAAATGACTCTCATGTACTTATGTGCTGAAAGAGTTTTATAAATTCAAAATCAATTCAATTTTTATCATTTTTATCAGATTAATAATTTTTTAAACTTAATTATTAATACTTAATTATATGGAAACAGTTTATTAGAAAATCATAAGTATTATTTTTATATGCTGCCAAATGATAAAATACCTTTTTGTATGCAAATCTAGTTTCTAATTTTTTACAACCTTTCTTGTTTCTGTATTGTTTTTTATGTACATTTATGATCTTCCTGATATCTTATATCTAAAGCTGACGACTCAATTTTATACTCGTGTCTTGCCAAAAGTTCTTCACTTAGATTGCTTAGAACAATTAGCTAACCTTGAATTTGATCTCCCTTTTTTAACAGCTTAGAAATTGCAGCGGTCGGTGGATTCCAAAAAAACTCTAGCTATTAACTGCTATTAACTGAATCAATAATCACAACGTTGTTGACATTCTTATTTTAATAAATGGCAACCCTCTCACTATGTCTTCTAATCTATGTCTTGCGAATAAAAATTCTCTCATAGAAAACTTATTTACAACCCTCTCACTATGTCTTCTAATCTATGTCTTGCGAATAAAAATTCTCTTATAGAAAACTTATTTACAGTTTGTAAATTATAAGTAATTTGTAATTACTTCTAACTATAGTAGTTGCTTGCAGCCTCACTGACAAAGAAGTTATTTTAAAAAAATTATTTGTTGTAAAATCAAATTTAATTTTATTGATTATTCATCAATGTTTAAGCATCACAGTATATAGTTTATAATATGTAAAATATAGTTTAAACTCATCTTTATTTAAATAATATTTTCTTTTAATAGTGTAATTTCCTCGCAAGAAAACACAACGAGAAATTTTATTCATCTATCTCATCATTAAACTAACTTCTATTTCACCTCCTTACAAAATCAATCGATAATTTATATTATACTACAAACCTCACATATTCATTTAAAACCATATAAACATATTAACTAATAATTAAAAATTATGGTAATCACAAACCACATAGTTGTCACTAACTGTTTTTTGTGTTTACCACAACATAATTACAAACAGATAGTATGTAGTTGGAATGTAGATTTAGATTTGTATGTTTTGCATATGTGGTTATGATTTGTGATTGAGTTTTCATTTTAGGATTCATATATAAATATATATATATATATATATATATATATATATATATATACATTATTTCTAAACAATTTTCCTGCATCGTACATCATTTTTATATTATTGTTATATCATCCAAAACAAATTTTTAACCACTCATTTGGCTTTTATATGTTAAAGTTTTTAAATAATTTTTTATTTTGCAAGTGCTGGGCTGTGATGGAACTTATGTAAACACTAGAAGAAGGAGTAGTGTTATAACATTTTTGGTAGTGTGATAAATTTTTAGGGTAGTTTGATAAATTTTTAACTGACTCTACATTGGGTTATTTGCTTCCTACATGCAAATAAGCTTCCATTACCATTTGTTTGAGGAGTTAGATGCTATCAAGGCTCTTTTGGAAAGTATCTTAAGAATTATGAGATCTTTAATGGTGTTGATTTTTATGATATAAACCATAATCTAGAAATACCAGAGAGGGCAAAGTGGCGCATGTTTTAGTAATATGGAGATGTGCCGCCTTGAAAAACTGGTTTGTTCTTGGTGGCTTTTCATTGCTAACTGGATCCTTAATTTATATTTTTCTACCAGCAATGCCACACAAAATCCCACATAAAGAAGATGTCCTCTTTCATTCATGATCAAATCACAGTATCAGTTTAAGGTAATAGACTAAGTTTTTCAAACAAATGCATTTTTTGAGAGAGCAGACAGACAGTGAGCTAGACAAGATAAAAGTAAAGAAGCAAACCAATTGTGGGGTAGTTCAAAGCTTCTAGTCTAAATTAATTTGCAAACAAAACATGGAGTAAATTAATTAGAGTAATTCACAGTAGGCCATGATGATCATGATTACTGATGAGCAAAAGAACAGCCATGAAGCATGTGGTTAAAGTTTTAACTCACAACCCAGAGGTCCGAGGTTTGATGCTGGCTCTAGCCCAATAAGCGATATTGGTAAGGAAGGAAGCGTGAACTTCTAGTTAAATGCTCTTCTGTGGTGCTCTGTGATAAGACCATAAAGACTTTTTGGGAGCACCTAAATAACCTAAAAAAAAAATATTGATAGAGGTAAAAGAGCATTGTGGATCTTTTGAAAAATTTAATGTCACATGCAAGTTTTTTTTTTTTTTTTTTTTTATTTAATTCACCTCTTCAAGGCCGAGAAGGCCACTACAGACAAGGAGGCTTCTTATTTGTGGCTATAGCCCTCTCTCAACTCTATAACTCTGAAACACGAACCTTGATAAACAAGGCCGCTGCGCAGAGAAACGAGTTGAGCGCGGCACTACCAGGGACGTGGTGGGGATCGAACTCGGAACCACTCGTTTATGAAGCGAGCGCTCTACCACTACACCACTACCGCATTTTTGTATAGCATTATGTAAAAATGGTTACAGCAGTTTCTGCTTTGGTTTTAGGCAAGATGGAAAGAAATAGTTTAATATGTTTCTATCTGCAATCTAGGAAGATTATGCCAATAGTTATTTATATTATTACAAATTAACAATATTAACACAAAGACACATTATAACACTCAATATGGAAAACATGCAAGGTATTCTATTAAAATGAATAAGAGTTTGTTGCAACAATCATTTATTTCATTATTTTTTGCTGTCTTATTTTTTTGTAAAAACCTCATAAATTAAAATTGTACATACCCCATTTTCAAAATTTATATATTGAGAGTAAATATGAATATTGATAGTAACTTAACATTAAATTGTTTTATACTTTTCTTTCCTTTTTTTTTAAATTTATCTAAAGACCTTGTGCCTGTTTCTATGTACAAGTTGCTTGAAATAATTAATAATAAGTAATTTTATATATACAGTTTTTCAGGATCTGCTGCATAATTTATTGGAACACTATTTAACATTAAAGTATGTAAGAATCAGCTAATTAATAATAATGCCGATGTTGTCAGCATATTTGTTGTAAATCTAAATGGATTATTATGATGGAATAATGAGGAAATCTTACTAAATGTTTCAACAATTATTAACTCATTGGTAAGTACGTTTTATAATTAATATTTTTATTGATATTGTTCCATATTAATTATAATAATCTTTTATCTCCTATATTAACTGTGATATTCTTTTATCTTGCATTATTTCGGAGATAAGGTTTCCCAAAACTCTAGGGTTTTTTGGTTCTGGGTACCCGTACTCGAACTCTGCGAGTCTGTAGCTAATTACCCAGAACTGATACCCGGTCTAAGACGGTCGGCGAGTCTCGTGATTTGAATTCCTGGCGTTGTTTTATACGCAGCGGGTTGTTTTGTGAATCCCTAACTTTTCTAGGCAGCTGTATCTGATGCTTAACAGCATGCTTAGATAGGGCTGTATTTGTATTATTATTAGGGAGGCCCATAGTCAAAAAATTTAATAAAATTGACCGTTGGGTCAAAATTGTCAATTAAAAATTTTTTGGGTAAACCTAATCCAGAAAGAGGCATTATATAATCAAAATATAAATTATATTATTCATTAATGTATTTTAAAACAATTTTCATTGTTTTTTCAATCATCATTGAAAAAGCTCCTTAAGATATTGGAAGTGTGCACTTAATAGAAAATATTAAATTTAAACATGAATTGACAATAGGCTGAAGCCTTTTAAACTAACTGTTAAAGATCTTAGCAGAAACGATGCTAATCTTGCAACATTCCAATTAGCAATTGGCTTTATGATAAGAATGTTAAAAGAATATAATGGTAATTTAAGTAGAGAGCTATTAATGATAAATAATAATTTAAGTAGAGAGCTATTAATGAAAAATAAATAACTCAAATAAATTGCCATTAAAACCAAGATTTAGAAGAGCTATTAGATTCTCTTGTAAATGGTACTATGCCAAAGAAAATACAAAAATTTACAGATTTATTGAAGAGATTATTTGATAGAAATGAAGAACAACAAAATACACATTATGAACAGGGACATTCATTTCAAAATAATGAAAATACTACAGTAAACGCATTAGCATCAACACTAGAGGAAAAACTTAATAAATTATTGTATATTAAACACTTATAAGTATTTAATTTATATGATATATTTTTTTAAAGTACTGTCAAGTCTATTTGGTAGTTTAACATAAGTATAATTATTTATTAGTATTTTTAAGTTAGGCTTTGAAACAAAAAATTGTTTTATTTACTGAAAAATTTACCAAATCTATTTTTTCAATTGGAAGGAACACGAAAAATCCAATCATTCTATTGTTAAAGTTGCAAGACAAAAAGACGTATTAGACTCGGACCTGATTTTGAACCCTATAAATATTTATAGGCTCGACTCAGGCTTGTTGGGTCTAAAAATGCCGGGTTTTCCCAAACCCTACAAAACTCTCCCATAAAAATAAAGGATGATAAGTTATTTTAATCAACGCTTTGAAACTTTTTCAAGTTGCTACATAAAGTTTGACAAAACAGATAGCTGATATAATAGATAACTGAATTAAATGATATATCCATTATGGTGCATTGTCTGGTACCATAATTTGTAAGAAACCCAATCATTTCAAACTGCGGACTCATATTTTTATGTAAATTTAAATTTTAATTTGAGTTTTTTTTGTAGTGTTTTGCAATTTAAAAATGATTTGGTTGTACAATTGACACTTTCTTTTTTATTAGTTGTTTAATAAAAATTATTTTTTCATTAAACGAATCTTTTTAAGTCTTTGTATTTATGTCAAATTATAAATATGTTATGAAATATAAAAGTTATATAAATGTGAAATATTGCATATAATATATGCTTTATAGAATATATATATATATATATATATATATATATATATATATATATATATATATATATATACATATATATATATATATATATATATATATATATACTATATATATATATATATATATATATATATATATATATGTATATATATATATATATATATATACATATATATATATATATATATATATATATATATATATATATATATATATATATATATATATATATATATATATATATATATATATATATATATATATATATATATATATATATATATATATATATATATATATATATATATATATATATATATATATATATATATATTATATATATATATATATATATATATATATATATATATGTATATATAAAACTTTATTTGTTTTAAACAAATTTATTTTGTATTTACAAACTTTTTGCTAAAGTGGTTCTAAGTTTTATGGACTTAAGTTTTAAATGCCTGAATAAAAAAAGAATTTTTTGCTTCATTCTTTAATTTTATAGTATGTAGATTGTATGTATTATCATCTCTTTTTTTTTTTTATCAGATTGAAATCTAGTTTAGGATTTTTAATTGTACTGGATTTTTAATTATTCAGGATTTTCAATTGTTCAGGATTCTCAATTATTCAGGATTCTTGGTTGTTCAGGATTCTCAATTGTTCAGAATCCTCAATTGTTCAGGATTCTCAGTTGTTCAGGATTCTTAATTGTTCAGGATTCTTGGTTGTTCAGGATTCTCAATTGTTCAGGGTTCTCAGTTGTTCAGGATTCTCAGTTTTTCAGGATTCTCAATTAATCAGGATTTTCAATTGTTCTAAATTTTTAATTGTTCAGGATTCTCAATTGCTTTAAGATATAATTTTAAAAGTATACTTATCTGCTTTTATTAAAGAATAAAAAACTAGTTTCAAAATCTTTTTTACATTGCAGTAAGAAAAGTTCTTTAACAACCAAAGTATTTTAACATAAAAATAGTTGCTTCAATGATTAGTTGCTTCACTAGGTGGTTTTGAGTTTTTCAAAAACTTGGATATTAATTCACAATAAAATAGCTGACCTTAAATTTATCCATTTGTTTTTTTTCATCCTTATTTTTTCTTATTCTTTCCTCCACTTTCTGAGTGATTTTTCTTTTTTTTCTGCTCTGTAATCTTTTTGAACATTTCTTTTTTTTTTTTTTATTTACCCTGAACTCTCTCTAAGTGTTTTTTCTTTTTTCTTTACTCTGTCGGTGAAGCAAGTCAGTATAACCAGAGAAATTTGTCAAAAAAAAATTTTCATAAGGAAAATTTTTTTCTGATTTATAAATAAAAAATAAATTTGATATAATATTTTCTTACACAGATAATATGTATTTTGTTAAGAATGTGAAAGAATGCTAACTTTTTAATATAAAAGTATATTTATACTTACAATTGTTAAAAACAATTTGCAAAATCTAAAAACCGAATGTATTATTTTATTTTTATTTCACAAAAATTTTTTGGCATTTAATAAAGAATTATAGAAATAATTATGATTCGCTGGATGTGGCAAAATAAACAAACTTCAATATCTTAAAAAAAAAATCAGGCATAAATAACCTCTGCTTATTTGAATCTTGTATTTAGTTTTTCAGATCATTAAATATTTTACATAGATAATGTTTTATTTTAACTTCTGATTTATTTTATAATGGAAGTTTTTAAAATAAGTAATTTCTAAAATCCAAATATATTTTTTTATTACAATTAATTTAATTCATTTTAAAAATCCTCAAAAAACCTCTCAATTTTGCATCAAAACACTTTTTTAAAATATCTATTTAAAAAAAAAGTAAAAAAGAAAACTACAAAAGCTAAATGTTTTCAATGTCATCAGGCGTCCATTCTGTCATTATTGCATTTTCCAAGAAAGGCTATATGTTATGTAGAATGGTTTTTTTTATTTTATTTTAAATTATTTTTATAGTAAGTAAATACCATATTTTGATTCGTAATCCTTTTATGAGCTAACAAATAAAAACTTTTAGAAATAAAAAAAATTAAAAAAGAGTTTATTAAATTAGAAATAATCTTAAAAAAGGTTATTTTAAACTTAAAATTGTTAATTTCAATAATATATTATATAAAAATTTTAATTTTATTAACATTATCAACATATGCAATTTGAATGAATAAATTTTTTAGTTAAAAATAATCATGCAAATAATTATACTTTTAATGATTTCTGGTAAATCATTATAATAAACATAATTCTTTGTTATTAAATATGTTCTAAACTGTACAAACAAGTTCTACTGTTTGTATAGTTTGGAAGTGGTTTATATAAGATACAGTGGTATAAAAGAGATTTAGTGGTTTACAAGAGATGTATTGGTATTTAAAAGAATTTTTGCTGTAGTATACAAAAGGTGTAGGTGTTTACAAGAGAGGTAGTGGTTTACAAGAAATGTAGTGGTTTACAAGGTGTTCGTTTTATATAACGTACCCTTGGTTGCAATTTGGGTTTGATTAGCAGAAGTAATACAACCAGTTATTGAATAATACACATACCGTTTATTGAATAATTCACATACTGTTTTTTTAATAATACACATATTAAACACACAAATAACACACATCACACACACAAAAAAACAGAAAAACAAAAACATTACTATTAAATTTTTATCTTTTCAAATATTTGTAATCTCAAAAGTATACTTTCACAAGTTTAATATTACCTTTTGCCAAATTTACCAGACCTATTTGCTCTACGTGAATTTAATTAAAATTAAAAAAACAAACAACCCAAATTGACTTCAAATTAATGTCTTTTAGAAAGATTCCAATTGTCACGTACTATACTTACACACAAGTTTAAATATTTGTCATGAATTCCAATTACCAATTGAACTATTTGTCACGAATTCCAATTACCAATAGAATTATTTGTCACAAGTTCCAATTACCAATTGAATTATTATATAATTAGTTGATATAAAGAATTCCAATTTCCAATTACCAATTAAATTATTTGTCACTAGTTCCAATTACCAATTAAAGTAATTGTCACAAATTCCAATTAACAATTGAATTATTTGTCACGAATTCCAATTACTAATGGAATTATTTGTTACGAATTCCAATTACCAATGGAAATTTTTTTACTAGTTTTAATTACTAATTAAACTATTACATAATAATTTAATTCACGAATTCCAATTAACAATTACCAATTGAATTATTTGTCACGAGTTCTAAATACCAATTGA